CAATATTTTTTTTTCAAATATAGAGGCAAGTTACTCAAACTGCACCAGTCGCAGTTTTATTATCTTTTAGATCTATGGGTATAAACTATTTCTTATCACATAAACAAGGATAGTCTGATGTTTAGTTGGAGTGCAGCAAGTATCAGATTTCTGTAATGGTAGTCTTGTCTTGTTAACACACCTGGAGCTATCGCTAATCAACTTATCAACTGCATCTTGGCATTCCAGCATATGATATTGTAAGTTGAAATCAAGATACACCCTATTCACTCACATGCTGAAATGATAGAAGGCTGGTTTCTAATATTAAAGACAATGTATACCTGGATTTATGTTTTCATATTTATTTAACAAGTTTCCTTTACCATAAGCAAGTTCGTTACAATTTACTGCAATTAAAGTATCCGAATATTGCTATATAAACGATTGAAACAAGCAAATGGATGTCCTTGTACATCATACAATCCAGGTTGACATAATAAATAATAAGATTTACTTGCGATGTTTCTTTATCGTATATGTAGGACTTGGTACTTTTTGTGTTTTGGCAATAAGAAGAATGTATGACGTTGCATTCGGATTTAACTTTGTAACAAAATCTTACACAGGCAGAAAAATTAATTTTGGATGATGTCAAGAACGAACGTAAAAAGGGGAATTCTATTAACTTAATGACCATTCTTATTATTTAAACCTTCTTCTCTGCTCGAAAAATCCAGACCGTTAAGTTGTGTTGGTAATAAGGTTGAAATGCGATATTCTGAATTAGTAGAAAAATTACTTTAGAGCAGTTTCCTTGATACATCGGTGGTACAAAGATTATTTATTTTACCAATAAAAACAATTGAAGAGGGATAGAAACATATCAAGTTATCATTGATCCTATTGGTTATATTAAAGAGAAGACAACATTTCCTCGTTTTCGGTTCATTTTGACTACAAATCAGGCAAACTTCAAATAAATTACTGACAAATATGACGGAGTTAGTCAATGTTAATTAGTGAAAATTAGTGGCAAAACTGGCACTGTTATTATACAGAGGTCACTCATCCTAACTTGTAATTTGATTACGAACACTATAAATTTCAACTCCATAAGTAATTCAGTTGAACTTATTTATGTATACATTAAGAAATGAACATTTCTAAAGCTATATATAATCACAAGAGACGTTTATTACACCGAGATTTTTATGCCCAACCTAGGAGCATATTGTTTTTCGGTCTGTGCGTCCGTTCGTCCGTTCGTCCGTCCGTCCGTCCTTCCCGCTTCAGGTTAAAGTTTTTGGTCAAGGTAGTTTTTGATGAAGTTGAAGTCCAATCAACTTGAAACTTTGTACACATGTTCCCTATGATATGATCTTTTTAATTTTAATGCCAAATTAGAGTTTTGACCCCAATTTCACGGTCCAATGAACATAGAAAATGATAGTGCGAGTTGGGCATCCGTGTACTATGGACACATTCTTGTTTTATGTCATTTTGGTGTTGATCTAATGTAACTTACTCATGTGATAAATTCGATGGAAACATTGCCAATTTACATATTTATAGAGCCTCAACGTCGAAAAACATATCTTTTAATTAAGGATTTTCTGTATAGGCGAATAATTTTTGGGAACGCTTCCCTTTCTGGTGTAACTTTTGTGACAAAATCTGAGTCAAAAATGTTTACTTTCCATAGGTATGGAGACTAACACTAACAGCTTAATTTTAAATGGTCAGGTTTTCATTATGAACAACATTTGTTTGTTACAAGTTGTTATAATATTTTTTATCATTATCCAAATAGCATAGTAGAGTGGGTGGCGCCTATTCGCCGTGGACACATTTTCGCCGTTTTTGCAATTTTTCTGTAAATTTCGGGTGCCTTTACCCAATACTTGCCTAAATAGATGCTAAACGCTGTTTGTAATGTTCGAACTGTTGATATTCCTCTTTATCCCATTTCCAATGTTATTCGCACATATAAAGAAATACGCAGGTGTTTTTTGAACGATTTTGGCAATTATGTAAGATTTATATGGCAGGCATGAGCAGTCATAAAGTAAATATTTGTTAAAAAAATCGTATAGGAATGATCTCTCAAGCTAATTCATGTAATTGCAAACAATTGTTTTTATACTATACAAGGATAATGAGGATGGTCATATCATACATTGCGGCGAAAATGTGTCCCCCATGGTACAAGAACAACTTGATTTCCTCTTGAGTTTGCGTTCATTTTTAAGACATTCAACCAATGTTTTGAAAAGAATTCCTTTATCAAACATTTTTTTCATATAGTAAACTTTCTGAAACCTATATAAAAAGTTTCAAATATTCGAATGTAGGTCGGATGTAGGTGGAAATGAACGAATTTTGCGGCGAATATGCGTCACCCACTCTATATGTTATGAAAATTTGATAAATAAAAAGGTCGAGTTTAAACAAGCTCTTCAGTCTCGGTGCAACAGTATGATTTTGAACTTCATACAACTTTGATAGTCTCCATACAGACAATGTCTATAGTTCATAAGAGAATAAGAATAAGAATATTTATTATCCAATCAAGGGCCCTTGATGGGTAGCATGACATGTATACACACAAAACAATATATTGTGATTTGTAACAGAAAAACTGAAATATTAAAAGTTCATATAGATATAGACATGATAGAACTACATATATTTCTTCATGTACATTTAATTCCGGGCAGGACCAGAACCATAAAATCATTACAATAATCATCGTCATTACGTATATTAATTTACGTTTCGTCTTACATCTAGACATTTAATAACATAATTCCCTAAATATTTTAGAAAAGACAAATTTTCATTAGTAAATAGCCAAACAAATTTTGCCTCATTTGAGAGGTCTGAAAAAGTAATAATATCTCCCTATCATCATTGTATGCTGGACAACTAGTAATAAAATGTTGTTCATCTTCAACCAAATTAGGGTACATTTCTTACAAAGCCTTTGATCTCTATCTATATATAAAGTTTTATACCTGTCTCTTTCTATTTTGAGATCATGGGCACTGATTCTGATTTTACATATGGCACTTCTCAATCGAAAATTATTTAAAGTTAGATAAATTTCTTTAGAAAAACAAGTTTTTAGTTTAAAATAAGTATCTTATTTAGTACTTTTTGTATCTGTTTTGTTCGTGTTCCAAAATTTATAAAAAACTATTACAAAGTATTTCTTAACTGACTTTATAAAAAAGTTTTGCTTTACCTCTAAATTTTGAATATTCAGCTTTTTAAAAATATAATGTATGGATGAATACCAGCATTCAATATTATTAGTTAACATGTTACACATAAGGTATAATACAGTAAACCATCCTTCATATTTTTTATTCTAAACCAATATTTCACCATGATAATACCACTGAAAAATATAAACGGAATCTACCAAGTTCTCCTTGCACAGCTAAGTTAGAGGACTTTTTGTTTACACACAAAGTATACTTCATATATCTTGAATTGGATTTATCTAAAAAAATCATTAATATAAATGTACTGTAATAAATATTCATTTTCTTTCTGGCATGCTGCAGAGCTAGTTTTGAACATACCTGCAATTTCACTGTCATGCATTAAAATAGATTTTTTGTATGATTCAACCTTTCCTTGCTTAAAAAGTCCACTAAATATAAAATTTAAACCTAAATACTTATAACTGTTATCACATTCTATAGTATCTTTCTCGAAATAGAAATATTCTTTTAAAAGTTTATAGTTCATATTAGATTACATGAAAAATTTACAGAAAATAACTTGTACGAATTAAGATTAAAAAAACAAGGTTTTTACGAAAACATATTATATCAATTGAAAAACAATTAAAGAAATCAAGCACACAAAGTAGAACTACAAATGTTAAATCTGATAAAATCATTTAAAATTGTTTTATTCTTTCGTGCATTGTATGATCAGAGCAGCAGATTTAATTTGTCCACCTTGTCTTTCCTGTATAATTGAAGATCCATAATCATTAGCCAATAAATCGAAGGAGAAAAATCAGTGCCTGTCCAAAGTAATTACAGGTTATTGATGTTTCAAAGGAAGAAATCCGTATTGTAGGATCAGGTTAAAGCATCAGTATGTAATCATTTTATCAACATCTTGTTTTATAATTAATAATCCAGAAATCATCAAAACTTTCTGTCAGAATGTTAAGTTAGCAAGTATTTCAGTGAATCTGAACTTTTTTTTTCTTGTTTATGAATTATGTGTTTATAATTAAACATTAAGCAATGTAGGCGGTACCGCTGAATACCCAAAACATAGTTTAATAACATTACACTTCATTATCAGTAATATACTGTTACACAACTTTTAATAGTAATAATTTATTCTTAAGTACTATACAAGTTCACCTTTTCTTAATTGAAGACAATAATTTACTTTATCTCATTTTCTTGTCATTATTATGAAATCAAATTAAAAAATACATTACTGCTGCATGCACGTGTTATTCAAATATTTCGATTATATCTTAATGTAAGTATATTATAATACAATAAGTCTGATTCACATGCTAGCTTAAATTAAAACCAGACCTATTTATTTAAGAAATAATTCATGGGGGCTTGAAGTTATACTGATTTTACCACGGATTGGCCCTTGATGCTAAATATTTTACCACGAGCGACGGTAGCGAGGTGTAAAATATCGGCATAAACATGATAAAATTTAGCAAAACCCATATCACATAGTAAGCCATAAGACGCTTGACATGACAAAATGTAAACAATATGTATGTCCACTTTTCCTGATGAGTTATGCTGCTTTCACTGGAGGCACTGGGGAAATATATTCCGCATAAAAAGACATGTTGGTTTTCGTAGTATATCAATCAAATGATATTATACATTCTAGTTATATATGTGTACTAATTAAAGAGAAAAACAATTGTCTAGACGGATTGTGTTACTTCTCTAATTGGTTTATTTTGCAATGATATATATCTTGAGTCTCTAATGTGACGATTTGTTTTATTATAGGCTGCAGGATTGTACTCCTACACATGGAGAATGGGTGATTTCCTTTGTACCTTTGTTGCCTATATACAAAACGTTTCCATGATATGTTCTGTGATGACATTAACCGTTATGAGCATTGAGAGGTAACAGTTTTACATATATTAGCTAGAGATGGTCAATTTTACAAAACCATTACGTTGATCTACCTTTTTTACTTGTATCATTAAACATATCGTATCATGGCGTTTCCTTTTCGCTCTCAATATACAAAAGTTACAAGAAATAGTTTTCCTTCTATATCTGCGTACTTCTTCTGTAAGTTTCCATACCTTGTTTTGGTTATATTCTACTTTCCATTTATCGTTAATTTTAACAGTTAATATCCAAGGCTTAAAAGATATATTATTACCTACTTGAAATTACAAATATCCCATTTATCACGGCCGACACTCGGCTAACCGAGAGATTGGTCGGTTAATCTATATTGAGTATGCGGCTATATCGGCGGTTGGTCTGTTAATTGGGTTGGCTAAAGTCTGTTAATCAGGTGTTATCGAGAAAATACTTGCAAGTTCAGTATGTTTCATTGTATAACTTTTTAAATATATTTTTATCATAAAAATTATTCATGTCTGACAAAACAATTCAATATACTGAATCCAGTGGTGTAATTATTTTTTTTCTAGCTTCGATAAACAATCAATAAAATGAAAAGGCGGGTTACTCATCAATAAATTTATACTCATTTTACACGCACAAAATGTACACAAAATGACAACTTGGCTGAAATTACTTGCATGCAATATTTTGAACATCGAAAAAAGACAGGCATTATGTTTGTTAACCATATTAATATCATTGTGTGAAAAATCTACACGAAAATCTGTATTTTGGTGATATTAATCAATTTTTATTAAAAACCTGGTCTGTTAATGGGTTGGATGTATAAAACCCGGTCTGTTATTTGGTCTGTTAAGAGTTATGAATGGCAATGAAAATATAATTTGAATGCATTATGGGGAGTTATCGGATCAAATGGGTAGGCTCAAGACGAGTGGCTAAAATATACAGAAACAACACATGAACAATGAAACATAAATTTAGACAATGGAAATTGGAAATTGATAAAAAAGGTTTCGAAAAGTGTAATATTAAAGTTATATTAATTTCATTCAAGAATGGTCGCATATATCATGTGAATTCTGTTTCGTTGTTATGAATGACACCAATTTGTCATCTACATTGGTAACCAGTATATACATCATTTTTATAGTTCGTTCTTATGTTGTACTGTTATACCACCGTCCCAGGTTAGGGGAGGGTTGGGATCCCGCTAACATGTTTAACCCCGCCACATTATGTATGTTTGTGCCTGTCCCAAGTCAGGAGCCTGTAAATCAGTGGTTGTCGTTTGTTTATGTGTTACATATTTGTTTTTCGTTCATTTTTTTTTTATATATAAATAAGTCCGTTAGTTTTCTCGTTTGAATTGTTTTACATTGTCATTTCGGGGCCTTTCATAGCTGACTATGCGGTATGGGCTTTGCTCATTGTTGAAGGCCGTACGGTGACCTATAGTTGTTAATTTCTGTGTCATTTTTGTCTCTTGTGGAGAGTTGTCTCATTGGCAATCATACCACATCTGCTTTTTATATCAGAGATAAACGTCGTAATGTAACTAAACATCAGTAAGTAAAATATATTGGGATGCTAAAATTTAAAGAATAGAGAAAGAATAATGAGAAAAATAAATAAAATGTAGAGAAAAGTGACATGACAATTTAAAGAATACAGAAATAAACAACACCCCCAATCCGGACCCTCATGGTATACACGAGAATCTGGATGGAGACGCAGAATATAGAATAATAGATAAGGACAGTAGAGAGTGATGCATTGCTAAAAAAGAGAAAAAAAAATAACAATTGTTTAAGAATACAGGCCTGAAACACCCCTTTTTACTATTTAGACCCTCCAAGATGATTGTTAAAACAATTTTGGCATTTATTCCACATCTCCTTATTTTTAAATTAATAGTATAGACAACGATATCTATATAGCATCTTCGCTAGCCAAGGGTTACGATCCACTTCCCTCCTCTCCTGGAGAGGAGGGAAGTGGATCGTAACCCTTGGCTGAAGAGGAGGGAAGTGGATCGTAACCCTTGGCTAGCGAAGATGTCTATATAGATGCTTTGCAATTTTTTTACTGTATATCACTTTATATGTTATTTGAGACTGGAGTCCGATAAACATTGGCCTCCTGTCAACCGCTGAATCTGATAGCTCAGTAAATATTGGTAAAGTGCAAACAAAACAAAATTTCAGGGGGAGGGGGTGGTTGAAACAGTAACGGATTGCGATGTACTCAAATTGGTGACAAATGCTAGAATTTTACAAGCGCACAACTGCAGTTCTCCTCTGCACTTATGTATATATAGAAAGGAACTAAACGGAATAAAATGAATTAAAACTTAAGATAATCAAATGTAGCTGCATTCGCTTCTTTCCATTTACTTCTTTAGAATGTTTTGTAAACAACATATGATTAAGTAATAAAACAAAAGAACCAATTGGATGATGCTGACGAATTAGAGTTTAACGTCCAGTGGCAAATATCATGTCCATATGAGAACGACAACACTTTATATGTACCCAGTTTTGTATAAGACAGACACTTTCAGTCGGATTTTTGAAACTGCTTCTTTGAACAGACACAAAAATCAAGGCTGATTGAAAACGTTAATAATAATTTCATGCATATTCCAGCAACCAATCCATATCACGCTATATTACAGTGACACACCTTTCAATAAATAGCAAAGAAAGTCAAAATAAAAATGGCCTTACTACAAGGATACTGTTGCACCGTATTGTCATTTTTATTTACTCAAGTACATCTCATTCTTAACTTTTTTAATGGGAAATTATAAAGGTAGCAAAACTATTGTCGTGGCTAAATAACTCTTAACTGACACAATTTTAATTGTCCAACCCATTAACAGACTTTATTCCCCTAATAGTCACTAAAACGTGGTATTACTCACGTTATATTACAATTATGAAATATTTACTAATGTCAATTTATTTTTTAGAACCAAAGTACTATTTTGTGTCCTTTAAATGATATCTAAAATTGTTTGTTTCGCCTTTTATTAAAACAATTGCTATGCGTATAAGCATAAATACCACATACTTGCGCGACGCCTTTTAGTTTTACTGAAGTTTGCGCAGACTATGAAATGTTTTTACATGTGGAAAATGTTCTATGATAGATATCATTTTGTCAGACACTTTTCTTTTTTTTATTTGGTTCTTATAATATGCCAAAAATCTGTATATTTAACAGAGTTGAACATTTAAATTGTGCGTTTTACTCTTAACAGACGTATAACCGACCCGATTAACAGACCAACCGCCCATATAGCCGCATACTCAATATAGATTAACCGACCAATCTCTCGGTTAGCCGAGTGTCGGCCGTGTAAATACTGTTTGCAAACATTATCAATCGTTTCAAAAACAAAAGAATTGAAATATTTACGGGCGATCATATATGTAGGATAAAGTCTATTTTGAATGTATGTTTATTTCCAATTTCCTAACAAATTTGACACTTTAGTGCTATTTCTTATTTATGCAAAGAACCCAATTAATTATTATAATATAGTTTCAGCTTTTATCAGGGAATTACAAAAATCATTAGATGTTCCTTTAATAAGACGAACTATCTGATCATCCGACTAAACGCACAAATTTAAATATTGCAAATAGTTGGGTGTAATATTAATCCCATACCTTTCGTGCTAATAAGTTCGTTTCATTACGTAAATCACAACAGTTATAACCGTTCTACTGTGATCACAGTGGTCATCCGACAATAAAAATAAGTACTCAATCCTGTACTACACGTGAAATAAATGCCAATTTGCATTAAAACAGTTAAAATCAAGCACATGTTAGATTTTCTCCTGATTTATTTGAAATTTTCACTTGACACATAAAGCATTTAATGGTGATTAGTATCTGTGGTATGGTATAACCGTCTATTGATAAAACCTGTAGAAATCAACATGTTTTACTATCAAAATAAGTCTTTAACTCACAGGAGGTTTTAATAGCTACAATTATATTGCATGGAACGGATGTTTTAAACATTCCGATTAATGGAAGAGATTCCTATCCCAGGATTGGCGCTTACAATAATTTATGGTATTTGTCTATTTTACAGCATGGGAGAAAACATGTAATATGATTCGAAACGTATATCATATACAAAATAGCGCTCTCAAATTGATGCAACTAGGGATTTTTTTTAATATAAAAAAGGAGACATATTGCTGACGTAAATTAAACAACAATCCATAAGATCAACGATGATATATTATCACAAAATAGTACAAGAATATATAAACCTTTTAATTAGCATCGTCAATACTTTATTAAACAATAGTGAACAACCATCGTGATCAATACACCAAAAATGGGAATTAAAAATAGAACTGTAATCAATTTTACTTCCTACAAATCATATTCTAATATTACAATGATAATTGTAATGATTTTATGGTTCTGGTCCTGCCTGGAATTACATGTATGTGATTTATATAGAATGGAGATAATAATATGTCTGAACTTTTTAATGTTTCATTTCAATGTATAAAAAAAAATGTTTTTCTGTTACAAATCATGATGTATTGTTTTATGTGTACATGTCATGCTGCCCATCAAGGGCCCTTGATTGGAATAATAAATAAATATCCTTATGTCCAGAACTGAATTTAGAAATGAAATTATTTGTCATGTTGGGTACAGTGGCTATTTTACTGAAGGTCACAACTGAATCAATTTTGGTACAATTCAATTTAGTGAGCAGCATTTGTGTATCTTGGAATCGACGGTTTACTTCGTTCAGTATTCTTTGCTTTGGAAATGACATAGTTATTACATAAGATTTAATGACCTAGTAATTACATGTACCTTAGATTTGAAACAAAGTTTGTCTCTACATTAGTTTTCTTTCTTTCGTAACCAAAGTTTCTAACTCTCCCGTACTCGCCTTAGTCGACTACTCTTGTAAGGATCTTTTGTGTTCCAAGAGAGGAACTTAACACGCAAGGAAAGTTGTATGTTTGGGTAACATTTGTTAAGCAATGGAACATTTCTTTTCTAATTAATATTACTTGAATTTGTTAAGGGTTTATTTTGTCAGTAACAATTAGGGTAACGAGACATTACTTAGTATTAAAGGACAGTAAAGTCGCACATTGACTTACTAACGGATTTCTTTTTCTGACTTGTCGGCAATATTACTCACATTAACACACTGCCAAACGACTATTTTTATGTTCAAGCAACATTTTACCCATTAACAAGGAACACAATGATTAGTTCTTTATTTATTGTAGGTTTCTTGCGATATTATTCCCGTTAAAGGCCAGATACATCTGTACTATGAATCACACAAGGGTAGTAATTGTGGCGATTTGGCTTATGTCTTTTGTGATGGCAATACCCATAATATTTGGAAAGGTTAGTATGTTTTTAAACAATATTTATAAGAAAAATAGCGGATCTTAAGCATGAAATATAAAATCTAAAGAAGATTAAATTCATAAGTTGGAAACACATCTTTAAAAACTAATGGATTCAGTCGAGGATTATGTCAGACATTGGACTAAACGTTAAAAAGGATACGTATATATTTTTTCCGAATGGGTTATGTCTGTGAGGTCGTTGATACAAAGTAGGATAAAAAAAACTTAAAGGGTTTATGGAAACTCGTGCTATATCTAACTAAATAGATCCAAATGTTACTAAGCACTTGTCCCACCACCATTTCAAATATTATGTTGTCCCTGCAGACAAAGCCCAAACAATGTCGTAATTAATTGTAAAAACATTATGATAACTGCTAAAAAAACGAATTTGGGGTTGACAATGCACTTGAAAACCTAAATATATTCCCACGACAATTACTTCAGAGGAAATCCTTAACAATCCTAGGTCGTTTCTATTTTCTATTGGAATTTCAAACAAAGATGAAGATCATTCTTCATTCTACTGGATACCCATATAACATAAGTGTCCTTACAAACAACGTCTTGTTGCTGGGTTTGCAAATGCTACACAACCTTTCTTCTTCAAATTATAAACATATACTTTATCAGCAAACTGGGTTTCAGATTTAATATGAAACTACCTACTCTGTCAGCTTTATAAATAAGATGTGCATACTAACAAATTCAAAAGATCTGTTAGAATACTTACAATCTAAGTCCCCCTTTTCGTGCAATAGTATCTACACATTTGATCTCTCTGCTAGTAACACAAGCAGTTCTCATTCTAAACATAAAGACCAACTGAAAAAATTAGTCCAAAATGTTTCACAAAACATAATGGCCAACGCAAACACACACATCTTGTTTCAAGAAGGGACAAATCATACTTTGTGAAAAACACTCTAACTCAGACAAAAAGATACATGTGATATCAAGATGCTGGAGTTTTTTTTTAATCATAACATATATTTAACGTATGGGGGACATAATTTTCAACAGACAATCGATATTCTTATAGAAATTAGCTGTGATCCTCTGCTTGTCGATTTGTTCCTTGTTCCTTTATTCTTATCAGGCCGATTTAATACAAAAGCTTCTCAAGAAAACTTAACAGAAGCTGGTATCAACTATTGACGACTTGACGTTCGCTATATATTTAAATGATATATTCTCTTTGAGTGATTCGCAGTTTGGTGACGTTTGACTGCATCTGTCTCGGTGAACTTGCAACAAAAATTCCACAGATTCAAATAAGTCTGCTTCATATCATGACAAACATCTTGAAAATGAAAAAGTGGGTCGGTTAAGAAATAAAATTTACGAGATGATTTCAATTTTCTAATTGAGAACTTTCAATTTCTGTGAAGCAAAATTCTCGCAGCACCTGCATATGGAGTGTTTATCTTCTTATTTTTATAGTTATATCCAGGTTGATATGATACTCTTGACCCTGCGTTTTTATCATGATTTCCTTCAAAAAGGGTATCTGGCTTCAAGGAAAGCTATTTCGTCGCAGGTCAAAATTGTAAAGCTGAAGTCATCTATACTACTAAAATAACGAGGTCTAATTTGTTAGCCGACATGACGTAAAAATGACGAATCAAAGAATTCAACATTATATATAACTAATATAGGACAATGCTGTTGTTTAAAAATTACACCATTCCCAGGCCCTTTTGTTTTCCACATAATTGATATTACCAATAATTAATAAGTTCCGGGTCGAATCCGATACCAATACCAATAGTATATGTCATATGTAGTTTCCGGTTGTAGTTACCTGTTACTTTCTGTAAATCCCTTCTCTATCAGGAGAACCTGTAATTCTTCCAGTTGATGTGTTATATCTATGTTACACTATAGTACACTATTTAACAAGTCTGTTTTCTTCCACCTTAATGCCACTATTAATTTTGGTTAATTTGTTTATAGTAAGTTTATTGTAATAAATGAATCCAGGACGGGTTCAAACAGAAATATTTTGAAAGCAAGAGATTCTGTGCACCTTACAATCAGCATGACTTTATCAGATGACAATACGAATACTAAAAATCCAGGCTAAAAATAAGGCATAGGTACTTTAATTCAGTCACGGACCCGCGATGTTGCGGGTGTTTTCTAGTATCTTCGAAAATTTAACAGACACCTTCATGATTCGGTTGATCGTTATAAAATAATTTAGTCGCAGCATAGATGACCGCGGGTCTGTTCCACTTGTCGTAACTGCAGCCACATCCTCTAATCATTGATTGTGGCATTTACAAATGTGACTTACTATATAACGGAATGTTTACCAGTAATGAGTAACACTACCAGTACCACTAGACGACCAAGAACTACTTGATTTCCAGAGTACCTGAGTTTATCAGTATTTTTCTGTCAAAGGGGATTCGTACTGCTTTTGGCTTTTTCTTTAGTGTTGCTTTAATATTGTTTGTATTGCATCTAAAATTCTCGTTTATCCTTTTTCATGGAAACCCTTGTTTTTATTTCAAACTACTCCATTCGATCAAGTCATTTACTTATAACGATGGTAGTAGTATTAGTTGAGATGTTTAGTGCATATAAAAATAAGAAGATAATGGTATGATAGCCAATGAGACAACTATCCACCAAAGTTCAAATGAAGTTGATGTAAACAATTATAGGCAACCAACAATACAATGAGAAAAACCCATACCGTATAGTTGGCTTTCAAAGGCCCGATATGAAAAATATGAAACAATTCAATTGAGAAAACTAACGGTGTAAGTTTTAACAAAATAATTTACGAAATTCAAATATGACAGACATGAACTAACGACAACCACTGAACTACATAAACAGGATATGTTAATGATTTATCAATCTGCTATTGTAAGACATTCTAACGGAACATCTACATGGTCATTTGTGGTATAGACATTCTGTCAACCAAGTCATCAAGGCAACCATTAAATTATCGAAGTTACGAATTTACTATTAAGATTGTTAAGACTAAATATCTTTCTTGATCAATATACAAACAAAAAAGTTTACAAAAAGCTTCGAAGCGATATATAAAAAAAATAGGCAACGTGGTATGGTTACCATTGTACACCCCTTTCCATTTAATGTGAACAATAAACACGTCAGCATACGGTCTTCAACATTGAGCAAAAGCCATACCGTACAGCGTAAGAGCCTGGATGAAAGCATGTGAATCAATTCGAAACTGAGAAAACCAATAGTCTAACATATACTATCAATAAACGAAAATCATTAGAAAAAAGACAGCTTCCAACGACAATCACTACATTATAGGTTCTGGCTTTGGATTGTCACACGACTAATGTAGCGGGGTTAAACATGTTTGTGAATGTTAATTTCCCTCCCTCAACCAGAAACTTAATAAAAAAAATAAATATCCATGTCAGTTCTTTACTTCTCATTAAACTGTCATTTAGTATTTTCCTAGATTTTAAAATCATTTGACATATTTATGTATTTGCAGTACATACAAGTTGTTAAAGGAGTAAATCGGACAGCATTATGGTGTAAAATCCAGTTTTCATCGTTTTACTTCAAATTGTACGAACTGTATATGCTAGTGATTATGTTTATCATACCAGTAATGGTGATGGCAGTCTGTTATATCATGATCTCTATAGAAATATGGCACATAGTCTCAAACAGAGCTATGATGCGTTCTGGCAGGTATGCATATATTGTCATCATAAAAACATAGCAAATTAACCAACAATGTTAAGGTGCTTTCGGAAAGTATGTATTTGCATGTATTTATCGATAGATAAATAATGCGGTTTTTATCCAACGCAATCATATGTTTGAACGTTGTTTTCAGTTTAGACTTGGTTGTAAATAATGGATATATATATATATATATATATAGGCATCGATTAAACATCAAATGTATTAAACTATGATGTGTTGCAAAAGTTATGTACTACTCCTCCATAAAACATGTAGCATGCCATGAATAGTTTTGATATGTGTATTAAACAACAGAGCAACGATTCGAAAGATTGATATAAAATCTTCCTCCTTAGAACATCTGAACAGAACCAAATAACTGTCAGGTGGGTGAAATATAAACATAGAGCGCATAAGTTTTCCGTTAGGAATGTATCTCAATTGGATAGAAACATGGCGCGAATTGGCTAGTAGGGAAATGGTGTAGGTCGATAGATATGATAAGCAACTCGATAGAAGCATGGCGCATATTCGTGGTTAGAGAGAATATGCTTATCAACATGTATGCCAGCTCAACAAAGATATAGTGAGCTTATTCAACAGTAGGGATATAATCTTGTTAACAGGAATGTAAGACAACCCACTGGAAATATGGAACTCATTCGTCATCAGAGTGATGGTTCTTGTTGATAGGAATAAAACACAACTCAATAAAATATGGCTCATATTAGCCAGTAGGGATAAGATGTATGTCGGCATAATTAGTTGGATAAAATCATGGTGGTTCTGAATTTAAATGGATATGATGCCTCTTTACACGGTTGTTATCAGACTTAAAAGAAACGTGGCGCTTATTTAATTGGGAAGGTATTTTACGGAAAGAATGTTATAAAGTTCAAAACTGAAATAGCTTATGCACCAACAGGAAAAAGATCTATTGATATTTTATAAAAAAATATAACCCATAGTACTTGCCAGATACGATTGATTGTTGTTTGCTTGCTGTCCAGTGGCAAATATTTCATGCATGTTCAGGACGATTTACCAGATTGGATAGATTTATTTTAATGTGATCCATTTTTATGTGTACGTGTTAATAACTATATATATAAATGTCATATAGTCCATGGTCATATGTTAAAAATACAAACTACAGAAAAAAATATTATTATGCATGCATACTACCTTAATCCTGATAAATAAAAATAAATTTTTAAATCGAAGAAAAGCTTATCTGTCCAAAAAATGCAATGATATGTCCCTTCAATTATTAGCACTGATTTGATACCACTGCTGGTTGACTGTTAGTCTCCGAGGGTATCGTCAGCTCAATAGTCAGTGCTTCAGTTCTGACTATTTATAACATATTTTTGTAAATTTCCCCCTCAATAAGTTCAGAAATTACTAAAAAATAATGGTACAGCTCACTCAGTCAAATTTGACCTTAGATTAATTTAGCTTTTCTTTTTAAATCTCTTTTTGTCATGCAGCTCCTAACTTTTCTGCTTATTTATGCATTCCTGGCTCTGAGATGTTTGTGGTTGAGCATTCGCTTCGGACGCATGAACTTTATAAAGAGTCATTTTCATTGACATATGATTTAATCCACCGTTTTCTACATAAGAAAATGCCTGTACCAAGTCAGGAATATGACAGTTGTTTTCCATTCGTTTGATGTGTTTGAGCTTTGATTTTGCCAATTGTTAATGGGACTTTCCGTTTTGAATTTTACTGGTTGTTTTAATTTTTATGGTTACCTAGCGATATTAGAACACGGAAGTTTTAAAACATGATAATCTTTTTTAAATTTTCTATGTTGTTCTGGCATTATAGGGCCTTCCGTATTTCTCTGAATTTTGTTTCCTATTAAGATGCTATTACTGGTATAGGGATATACGGAATCATATCAACTGAGCTCTTTTATGACGACAGATTGTTTCCATGTTTTTTTTTATTTCATTAAAACAAAAAGCAAAACAAAAATGAAAAGGGAAAATCGAGTTGAAAACCGTCAAAGGCATCGTACAAGGAATGAGGAATCGTGTTTACACAGCTTATGCCAAACTTTTAGTTTTGTAGTACTTTTCTGGTGTTTGTCCTTCAATATATTTAAATCCAGGTCAGATAAGTAACGAGGATGCAATTAATGGTGGGAATATCTGTCTGAAGTCAAAATATTTGGTTTACATCTGTCAAAATGTTTGTATTAAAGGTCTGTTATACTAACAAATAAGTACAGCGTGATTAATTAACCACGGATCAGACATAAGACGTATGTTTGTTGTCCAATCATTATACAGTAGAACAGGTCAATAGGACTAGTAGCCAAAGTTGAACTAGTTAATTGAAAAGCACATTAACTTTTAATTGGACGAACCGCGTTTTTTTTAATGTTTACCAGCTATAACCAGAACATGACATGTGTTTGTTATTTGTTGTGATCTGTTATTATACTATGATAATATGATCAGAACACTGATGTTTTTTTTTTCTTCATCTGCAATGAATGATTTATAATTTGTCTTAAATTGTCATATGCATTCAAAGCCAGTCAAATTTGGTATTTGGATATCATATACCAAAACGTCATGCATATTTGATTGCTCTTTCAAATAATGTTCCTACTAACATGGGAAATGGTCGCAAAAATTTATGATCCCAACGATGTTTTAAAACGAATTTTCAAATATACGTTATTCGGCAAGGGTTTGAATCCTCTAAAACTGTTTGTTTTACCTTTAAATGACAAGAAATATCTTAGACTATTTTATAACATAGATCTAGCTTCTGTCTAATGTGTCTGTCACAAAAAAATATTAACTTTAAATTTAGTGGAAAATAAGAACCAATATTTTATTAATATAATAATGAAATCGTCACGAGACAATAACTACATTTTCTTCAGTCCTGGAACACTTCTGTAATAATAAATGAAAGGTTATAAACGCAATATAATTCGTGTCTATTTTATTAATGGCGTGTCCGTATTCTAGATAGCATACAAATGTAAGGGACGGATAATTGACTAGCATTCACCTGTAAGGGACGGACAATTGACTAGCATACAACTGTAAGAGACGAACAATTAACTAGCATACACCTGTAAGGGACGGACAATTGACTAGCATACAACTGTAAGGGACGGACAATTGACTAGCATACACCTGTAAGGGACGGACAATTGACTAGCATACACATGTAGGGGACGGACAATTGTAGCATACACCTGTAAGGGACGGACAATTGACTAGCATACACCTGTAAGGGACGGACAATTGACTGGCATACACCTGTAAGGGACGGACAATTGACTAGCATACACCTGTAAGGGACGGACAATTGACTAGCACACACCTGTAAGGGACGGACAATTGACTAGCATACACCTGTAAGGGACGAACAATTGACTAGCATATACCTGTAAGGGACGGACAATTGACTAGCATACACCTGTAAGGGACGAACAATTGACTAGCATACACCTGTAAGGGACGGACAATTGACTAGCATACACTTGTAAGGAACGGACAATTGACTAGCATACACCTGTAAGGGACGGACAATTGGCTAGCATACACGTGTAAGGGACGAACAATGGACTAGCATACACGTGTAAGGGACGGACATTTGACTAGCATACAACTGTAAGGGACGAACAATTGACTAGCATACACCTGTAAGGGACGGACAATTGACTAGCATACATATGGGAGGGACGAACAAATGACTAGCATACACGTGTAAGGGACGAACAATTGTAGCATACACCTGTAAGGGACGGACAATTGACTAGCATTCACTTGTAAGGGACGAACAATTGACTAGCATACACCTGTAAGGGACGGACAATTGACTAGCATACACTTGTAAGGAACGGACAATTGACTAGCATACACCTGTAAGGGACGGACAATTGGCTAGCATACACGTGTAAGGGACGAACAATGGACTAGCATACACGTGTAAGGGACGGACATTTGACTAGCATACAACTGTAAGGGACGAACAATTGACTAGCATACACCTGTAAGGGACGGACAATTGACTAGCATACATATGGGAGGGACGAACAAATGACTAGCATACACGTGTAAGGGACGAAAAATTGTAGCATACACCTGTAAGGGACGGACAATTGACTAGCATTCACTTGTAAGGGACGAACAATTGACTAGCATACACGTGTAAGGGACGGACAATTGTAGCATACACCTATAAGGGACGGACAATTGACTAGCATACACGTGTAAGGGACGAACAATTGACTAGTATACACATGTAAGGGACGGGCAATTGACTAGCATACATCTGTAAGGGACCGACAATTGACTAGCACACACCTGTAAGGGACGGACAATTGACTAGCATACAACTGTAAGGGACGGACAATTGACTAGCATACACTTGTAAGGGACGGACGATTGACTAGCATGCACCTGTAAGGGACGGACAATTGACCAGCATACCAGTTTTTAAAATTATCATATATCAACATTTTTAGATTTTTATTTTTTTCTTATTATTTTTGTATATTCAAACTTTTAAAATAATTTATAATATTGTTCCAATGTTTTAAATTTTCAAGGTAATATTCAATTCATTTTTGTTTACAGCGAATGTCAATATACATGTTCTGAACGCATAAAGTCCTCTTCTTCTAATGGAGATTGTAACGGGAAAATGAAGGTTTCGACCAAAAAACCACCTGCAGCAAACGATGATGATGCAAGAACTAGAAAACAGGTAAGCATATGGGTGAGCACTTTAATAATACAGTAACAACAGACCGGGCACATAAGAATAAAAGTACCGTTCATTATAGCAGACTTTTTTTGTGAATAAATTTTGCAATATGCAAAGGGACGGTGAAGCTATCAAAACAACTATTAACTATTTTAACTATTTATTGAAAAGCAACGCTCAGACACATATATGTGTAACATGAGGTAAATATACAATAATAAACATGATTTATAATTAAACAGTCAATTAAAATAATTCATTTTAAACATTGTATTGATAAAACTGGATAGGAGTCTTAATTTAACCAATAAAGTGATACATTGTGGTAAAAATAATCACAAAAAAAACACTGAACGGACGATATCAACTATACCCGACTCCTCAGGGGGAAAAAAAGGCGAACAAGCAAGGACAAACAACTAGGAAAAACAAAAGGTGCAGATAGCTTGACTTAATACAGGCACACAATGTAATGGGATTAATCTATTTTCAACGAGGCATATCCCCCTCTTTGTCTATCTTTCTATCTAGACCATTTGTCATAAAAAAACTAAAACATACAATAAAACATGCAGTGAAGCATCCAACGGGATGAGCACTAAACTGACCAAGGAAATAAAAAAAAACGGCACATAATGTAGAAAGCAGGTTCAAAATATTCTCCCTACTACAACAAGCTAGATAAGGTTTCTACAGCTGTTGGTTGAACACTGCCACTCAAGGTATTTTTTTCTATTTTTTATTATTTTTAAATCTTAGATTATCATTTTGGATTAAGGAATATACATGTATCTCCCTCGTGTTTAGCTCTAATTCCTTTTCCGTGTTTGGCTACACCTTTTGGTCCTTTTTTCAGTTAACTCAGCTCTTCAAAGTTTGTAAGGCATTGGATTTTGTTTACCTCGAGCATAAATTGTCGAAATGCGCATAATTTTTTTTATTTATATCTTAACTCTGTCTCTCTTAGTAGGGCTCTGGAATTTATCTAAGTATCAATGACTGGGTCTCATGAGGTTATTATTGAATTTTTTGTAGTTTGCGTTAAAAAAAATGGACAAATATGTAAGATAAAACTTTAAAAAAAAAATACCGATAATCCAACAGACTAATTTCTAATATTTGAGCATCTAAAGAATGTAATTTCATGATTTGTATATGTCAGGGTTTATCTACCTTGGAGTTTGGTTGTTTTGTTAATACTTTTTGATAAATTTATAATATCTCTTCGAACTCTAAGAAGCAAAAATATGCCTTACCATTCCTTCGGTTTTTTTAAGAGTTGAGATAACGCTAAATTCTTAAATTAATTTAACCGCAAAAAGGCGTTCTCTCCCAATATTTTAGTTCGTGTTCTTTAATGCTTTTACAAACTTATTGTTGCCCTTGGTTTGTTAATTTCCCAATTTATTCAGTATTTTCCTTTTCTGGTGACGTTTTTCCTACTAATATTAATAAACGTTTTTTTCGGTATAAATGCAAGATTTCGAGTGAAGATTTTTGCCAAAATGAAGTACGATTATAAATGCCAAGGTTTGGTTTACCTGAAGAAAATGTGATATAATATAAAATTGAGAATGGAAATGGGGAATGTGTCAAAGAGACAACAACCCGACCACAGAACAGACAACAACAGAAGGCCACCAACAGGTCTTCAATGCAGCGAGAAATTCCCGCACCCGGAGGCGTCCTTCAGCTGGCCCCTAAACAAATATATATACTAGTTCAGTGATAATGAACGCCATACTAAACTCCAAATTGTACACAAGAAACTAAAATTAAAAATAATACAAGACTAACAAAGGCTAGAGGCTCCTGACTTGGGACAGGCGCAAAAAAATTTTTGTGGTCGTATATTGGTATGACGTTGGCGTCGTCGTCGTCGTCGTCGTCTGGCGTCGTCCGGCGTCGTCCGAAGACACATTGGTTTTCGCACTCTAACTTTAGTTTAAGTGAATGGATCTCTATGAAATTTTACCACAAGGTTCAATACCACAAAAGGAAGGTTGGGATTGATTTTGGGGGTTATGGTACCAACAGTAAAGGAATCAAGGGCCAAAAAGGGGCCAAAAATAAGCATTTTTGTAACTTCCAGACATAACTTGTGTGTTAGTGTATGGATCTCTCTGACATTGTACCACAAGGTTCCATATCACAAAAGGAATGCTGGGATTGATTTTGGGGGTAATTGCCTCAAAATTTTAGGAATTAGGGGCCAAAAAAGGGGCAAAAAACAAGCATTTTTCTAGTTTCATGACAATAAATTGTGTGTAAGTGTATGGATCTTTCTGAAATTGTACTACAAGGTTCCATATCACAAAGGGAAAGCTGGGTTTGAGTTTGGGGGTAATTGCCGAAACGTTTAGGAATTGGGGGCCAAAAAGGGGCCAAAAATAAGCATTTTTCTAGTTTCCAGACAATAACTTGTGTTCAAGTGTATGAATCTCTCTGAAATTGTACTGCAAGGTACCATACCACAAAGGGAAGGCTGGGATTGATGATGGGGGTAATTGCCTCAATATTTTAGGAATTAGGGGCCAAAAAGGGGCAAAAAACAAGCATTTTTCTAGTTTCAGGACAATAACTTGTGTGTAAGTGTATGGATCTTTCTGAAATTGTACTACAAGGTTCCATATCACAAAGGGAAAGCTGGGTTTGAGTTTGGGGGTAATTGCCCTAAACGTTTAGGAATTTGGGGCCAAAAAGGGGCCAAAAAACACATTTTTCTAGTTTCCAGACAATAACTTGTGTTCAAGTGTATGGATCTCTCTGAAATTGTACTGCAAGGTACCATACCACAAAGGGAAGGCTGGGATTGAGTTTGGGGGTGATGAATCATAAGGGGGTTCAAAAAATTTGGGGGGGGGATTTTTTTTTTTTTTCCTTTTTTTTCTTTTTTTCCTTTTTTTTTTCTTTTAAAATTTTCCATTTTAAATTGGTTATTTCTGATTTATATTTAAAAGCAAATAATAATGATATGGTAGGAGATACACACCAAACAGGATATGTAAATTATTATATAATAAGTATTGTGCAATAGCAAGAAATTTTCAATTGCACAGTATTGCACAATAGCAAGAAATCTTTAATTGCACAGTATTGCGCAATAGCAAGAAATCTTCAATTGCACAGTATTGCGCAATAGCAAGAAATATCCAATAGCACAATATTGCGCAATAGCAAGAAATTGTCAATTGTACAGTATTGCGCAATAGCAAGAAATATTTAATTGCACAGTATTGTGCAAAAGAAGATACTTCGTATAAATTGCTTATTTCTTGACCAATTTCAATGGGGTTTTATTCTTGAATTCTTGGGGTTCTTTAATATGCTGAATCTAACCGTGTATTTAGTTTTTGGATTTTGGGCCCCATTTTTAAATTGGTCCACATTGAGGTCCAAAGGGTCCAAAATTAAACTTTGTTTGATTTCATCAAAAATTGAATTATTGGGGTTCTTTGATATGCCGAATCTAACCGTGTATTTAGATTCTTAATTTTTGGTTCCATTTTCAAATTGGTCTACATTAAGGTCCAAAGGGTCCAAAATTAAACTTAGTTTGATTTTAACAAAAATTGAATTCTTAGGGTTCTTTGATATGCTGAATCTAAACATGTATTTAAATTTTTGATTATAGGCCCAGTTTTCAAGTTGGTCCAAATCGGGGTCCAAAATTAAACTTTGTTTGATTTCAACAAAAATTGAATATATGGGGTTCTTTGATATGATTTTTGGGCCCCATTATCAACTTTGTCCACATTGAGGTCAAAAGGGTCCAAAATTAAACTTTGTTTGATTTCATCAAAAATTGAATTCTTGGGGTTCTTTGATATGCTGAATCTAACCATGTATTTAGATTTTGGATATTGGACCATAATAGGTGAATTTCCAATTTAAAATTTTTAAGTTCTTAGACCACATTCATTCTGTGTCAGAAACCTATGCTGTGTCAAATATTTAATCACAATCCAAATGCAAAGCTGTATCAAGCTTGAATGTTGTGTCCATACTTGCCCCAACTGTTCAGGGTTCGACCTCTGCGGTCGTATCAAGCTGCGCCCTGCGGAGCATTTTATTGATAATTAACATAATTTAAAGTTTGAACCTTATGATTCCTTGAACGTACTCATTCGCCAAAGTTTTGAAAACATATTGTTGTATGATCTTTGAAACATTTTAGTATTTCGCTGTAAACGTTGATGTTTATAGTTAATTACACTATCAAATATATTTTGAAGTGCTACCCGTTTTTGCAATATAATTTACAAGGTTAAGAACCCTTCCGCATAAAATGTACGTGTTCGTAACCAGTCAAATGATTGTACCCGCCTCTCGGCCAAAATTTATTTTCTTTTTTAAGAAATTGATTTGATTTAAACAAAAATTGTCTCTTTTCATTTCAAGCTATAAAGGGCCCCAAAATAACTAGTTTAAACCAATTCAAACAGGAAAACCAACGGTCTAATCTATATAAAAAACGAGAAACGAGAAACACTTATGAAGCACACCAACAAACGACAACCACTGAACAACAGGCTCCTGACTTAGGACAGGTGCATACAAATGAGTCCATATTCTTTTTTTTAAATATATATTCTTGATATTTGAAGTTTTTAGAGGTGCCTTAAATGCTTAATTCATTAGACAATTGGACATTTGAGAATACAGACAAATCCATATTTTATTGGTATTGCGTAATATATTATTTAAATACTTTCAAATTAAATTACAAAATACAACAAAAAAAGGAGCTATTAATGACTTGATCCCTGTTATTACGCATGTGTCAACAATTTGTTATTTCAGAAACATTTCTTTTCTGCTTCAGGTCATCATGATGTTGATCGTGGTCGTATTTCTGTTTGCTGTTTGCTGGGGTCCAATTCTGATCAATAATGTACTTGTATCTTTTGGTATCCTCAGTGACCTTCATGACAAGGACTACCTGAAGCACATGAGGAGTGCTTTCTCATTAATGTCGTATGCAAACAGTTGTATAAACCCCATTGTTTATGGTTTTATGTCGAAAAACTTCAGAGACACATTCAAACATGCAATAAATAACTGTCTAAAGAGAGGATCCTCTATGGCAAGGCTTCCATATGTGACAGATATCACTAGAGGGTCCATTCTAAAGTCCAGTAATAGCGCTGGAAGTGACGAAAAAGAAACTGGATTCATCCGCGTTGATAATAGCAAAGGAAATTATACTGCAGTTGAGATGAAACCCATTCGATATGAATAAATATGACAAAAGATTTACTTATCTCTCGTTGGTAGGTTATCATTAGGCTCTGAGATGTATATAAACTCTGTATACATGTATAGCGTAAATTGTGATGCTATGTGTCAATTCAAAAGATATATATTAAATTGTTTTGTTTTTTTATAATTGGTTTATAAAAGTTATTTTTAGTAATAGTCAGAATTCCAACTCGTCAGGTTTGTATTTAGTTTCACATATTTGGAGAATGTTTCTACAACGGAAAAAATGATTTCATAACTTTAAAATCTCCTAATTTATCGACATTGAATGTCCAGAAATATTCAACATAAGAAGCGTAAGTACGGATATTAAGGACACTGTGGATAGATATTAATGAACATAGCGTACGTACCAGGACATGATTTTGGTGATAGTTGATAAAGGCTCGGATGTGATTTTAGTATACACACAAGGATCCAACCGTTAAACAATTTTTAAGGTTACTAGGTTGAAATAGACAGAGGGTAGAAGTCTATTGATGTTTGATAGAAAAAAAGTCATTGCCAACTTATGTATAAATAACATGACTTTTTGTATGACTGAAGATGAAATTTATTAATTGCAATCTCAGGTTTTAAAAAAACAAAGGAAGGATAAACAGTCCAGAATGTTTTGTGAAAAGAAGAGCAATCAAAATGTTACACATATATTAAGAAAAAAAAATATTCAAAACTTGCATTCTGCCTTCTGTTCTAATATGTGCCCTTGCTTTCCTTTTGTAGGCGTGCAAAATATTTAAAAATCGCAGTTTACACAACCATATCAAAATTCAGGAGTTGCAATATTAACACGAGCGATGTATCACGCTCGTTTTGTAGTAGTGTAACACTTAGGGGTAATATGTGAAGTGATTGTTTTGACTAAAACGGCGGATAACGTGACGACATTGTATCAATGAATTAATTAACAATTAAAAAAGATAGTTTTACATTCGTAATATTTACTTTTCTGTGGATGTCAATACTGATAAAGTTAAATTCAAACATGACGAATTACAAGATGTAAGAATATTTTATATAAGAAGATCTAAGGACAATATTGATTGGCTAATGTATATCAAACGTAAGCTGCGTCTGCAGAAAGAAATGTAACATGATGTTTAGCACTTGCGTTTTGTATCTTATGAAATCCTTTAAAAAAGTGCACTTGAGACAAGAAACAGACTTATGTAACGTACCTATGCATTTGATGTTCATTTAAAAACCGGAATATTTTAGAGGTTATGAAAATAAAAAATAAAAACAATGCCATTTTTTCATAGTTTTGCCATAAATTTTAGTGCAGTTCAATGTATCAAACAGATTGTAGCGAAGATATGGATTTCTGAAATAGAATGTGAAGGCAGGACATCGCATGAGATTGTTCACATCGAGTTTCTGCATATCATATAATACAATTTAGATATAACGTTTGAAAGAAAAACTGATTGATGGATGGCTTAACGTCCGGCGTCAAATAGTCGCATATGACATGCATATCCAGGACAAAAGCATATAAATGTTAAATTGCTGTAATATTTTTGCTTCTGATTGTTTTCACTCCCATATCCGTCATTTCATACCTGGCATCGGTGTTATCTGTATATCTTATCTAGTTTACCTTGACCTCTTCAGTTTATCGATGAAGATTTTCCAGCCACTGTAAAAAATATGTAAGAACACAGGCAGTTAATAAAAAATAATCGGGGTAAAGGACAGACAACACCGTTTCACAACGACATGAGACAAACACTAGTTTACAAAGCACAGCACCAAGATATAATAGCCTACAAACCAAAACACAGAGACAAACAATAATTTGCAAAACACAACACTGAGACGAACAATAGTCTACAAAACACAACACTGAGACGAACAATAGTCTACAAAACACAACACTGAGACGAACAATAGTCTACAAAACACAACACTGAGACAAACAATAGCCTACAAAACACAACACTGAGACGAACAATAGTCTACAAAACACAACACTGAGACAAACAATAGTCTACAAAATACAACACTGAGACAAACAATAGCCTACAAAACACAACACTGAGACAAACAATAGCCTACAAAACACAACACTGAGACGAACAATAGTCTACAAAACACAACACTGAGACGAACAATAGTCTACAAAACACAACTCAGAGACGAGCAAGTCTACAAGAAACAACACTAAGGCAAACATTAGTCTCCAAAACTATACACTGAGACGAACAATAGCCTACAAAACACAATACTGGGACGAACAATTGTCTATAAAAACAACACTAAGGCAAAACATTTGTTTACAAAACTAGACAATGAGACAAACAATAGTCTTTAAAACACAACACTGAAGCGAACAGTAGTCTAACAATCACAACACAGAGACAAGCAATAGTCTACAAAGAACAACAATTACGCAAACAATAGTCTTCAAAACTAGACACTGAGACGAACAAAAGTCTACAAAACACGACACTGAGACGAACAATTGTCTATAAAACACAACACTGAGACATACGAGAGACAAATAATAGTCTAAAAAAACACAACACTGAGACAAACAATAGTCTTCTGAACACAACACCGTAACAAACAAAAGGTAACAAAACACAACACTGAGACAAACAATAGTCTACAAAAACCATACATAAATCGGAGCATTGACAACCACAAAAATCTGTGATTAACTCAATAGTAAACAATTTGTTGTCGGTCTGCATGTAATGAAATGTTTTTTCCACTAAACTTTAGCATTTACAATTATACTTTTTAACTAAACGGTCTTCATCTATCTTTTCTGCTTTACATGGGAAAGGGTCTTATAAAGTTTTAACATATCTTGTCCCCGTACTCCATTTCAGATTAGCATATATCTGCAATCAAATTAAAACAAAACTTGTAATCAACCCTATACGGTCCTAAGGATGAATGTAAGTGTTACAACAGTCGGATCAGTACATAGAACAGAATGAATTAATATCATAATCGACAGCACGGAAGTTTTCATGATAGTGAAATACTTCATATTGTACCGAGACCGAGCAACTTATATATCACAACTTGAACGCATTTTTAGTCGTTTACAGCAGATGTCATTAATGTAACATCAGAGAACCCTAGAGAAACGAGAAACACTTATGAACCACATCAACAAACGACAAGCACTGAACATCAGGTTCCTGACTTAGGACAGGTGCAAACAAAAACAAATGAAACTATTCTTTCTCTCAATGTGATTAACTAATAAGTAAGAATTCTTCTCTGCTTTACGGTCATCATACCTTAATACAATATCACTGTTGATGGTAAGGAAGAATCATTACTGATTAAATAATTACAGAAACCTGTAGCTTTTGCTGATAAATGATAAGACTTTTGTGTAAACAAGTACTCTTTTCATGGATATTTCTTACAAAAGAATCCTTTGTCAACACATTGGAAGTCGAATTTTTCATAAAAAATCCGGTCAGCAAACAAAAGCTTTTCTATTCAATTCAGATTTTTTATTGCAAAGCTTCATGTATAATGATTATATCAGAAATATATCTAGATAATGATCGCTGCATTCTGTTTTCTTAAAAAAAAAGGAAAGAAAAGAAACTTTTATATTACATAAACAACAAAAGATTGAAAGATATGAACAGATTATCTTCATCGTGTAACATTGTCATGAGATATTTCTACTAAATAGGTTCTACTAAATATGTTCATTTTATCTAAGTTACAAAAAGTGTTTATAAAAAACTAGAAAACCACAGTAAAAATGTATGGCATAATTTCACTGGTTTTCGACACGCCGAAGACCAAGAGTTTGGAAAGTCAAACTTACAAAACGGTTGGGAGCATAAAACCAAAGGTACTAAATAATCAGAAACCGTCTTTAGTCAATTTTCCTGAGGATTGCAATCATACCTTTACATAATAAATAAAATAAGTTATGGATATAGACAGTGGTAAATTATATTGGATAGTAATCCATATCTCTGACGTTAAAATGTTATTCTGACTGTACATTATGTGTGGGAGAATGGTCCTCAACTGTAGACTGCTGTACATTTGAAAAACTATTGCGTGTTTTTAGTATTGCGATTGTTGGACAATCGACACAAATTCGATTTAATTGTTGCGATTTTCGGAAATGCTGCATACAAATATTGATATAAACATTTAAAAATCGAGTTTTTTTTATTTTTGCGACACCTATCTCGTCGCAAGTTTCGCAATAATAAAAACATCGCAAAAATTTCTTACGAACGCACTTAAAGAATCCACAGGTAGGTCATATTCTCTTGCTTAATCGTTTGAAAAGTATACATGTAATTACACAAAGCTGTAGATATAATGATATATTTAAGATGGAAACAAAAAGTGGGTATCGTAAAAGTTAAAAAAAATATTTGATACAAAGGATTAGTTGTGCTTAGTATAAAAATAATGAAATGTTGTATGATTGGCAATGAAATAACTATCCATAAAGACAAATAACAGAGGCCTTCAACAATGAGAAAATTCTATATCGTATAGTCAGCTATAAAGGGCCACGATATGACAAAATGTAAATCAATTCGAAAGGGATAACTAACGGCATGATTTACACTACAACCATCACGGAAAACAATAAAGGAAGACCAAAACAAACGATAACCACTGGATTTTGGGTTCCTGGCACGAGTACATTAAGAATTTGACGGGTTTAAACATGCGATTTTTTGTTTTTGTTTTTGATACTGACTTTTTCAACAAGAATATCAAGCGAGCCCGCATGACTTTATCAGCTCGACCTATTCTTGCTGAAAAAGTCGGTACCAAAAACAAAAATGCCATTATTTTATATGTCTGTAGTGACGTTTAAGATTTTAATAAATGTTTTTTTTTCTATAACTGGTAATTATTAAGTCAGTGATTTCGATACCACAAATTACTTTAAAACACTTTTACTAAATGTTTGATGGATACAAAAGTTTGGTTTAGAAGTTTGGCAATACCAGTCCAGATAAAGGGAAGATTTCACATCCAATAATGAACAAAATTCACGTCATGCACTGAAATTATCTTCTTAAATCATTAATCCACAGAGCAGCTTGTTCAAATTAGATTCTAACAAGGCTTCGCTAAACGATTGCACCATACCTGGCAGAAGCATTTACAACATTTTCCCAAACATCAATAAATTTAGGCATCATTCCACCCGATAGAAAGAAGCATTTAACGTTCAAAGGAGACAAATCATGTGTATGCAACTACCGTCCAATTTCCTTGACTTGTACATCTTTGGCTTTCAAATATTCGGCTTTGAGCGTTCTTGGTGAAGGTAAATCCAGGAAAGCGCTTCGGACGCATGAAATGTACAACGTATTGTTTTATTTTTCTTAGAACATATAATTTGCACTAGTACTACTTACACCTTAAAACCCATGGCGTCCTCAGAAAATCAGAAAAAAAAAACAGAATCATGTCCCTACAATACCAGGACTTGGCTAAGAGTATAGATCTCGTCCAAGAAATCGACTTTATTTTGCTCGAATATTCGAGGTCATCCAATAAAGTTTTTCATGAGAGATGCCTCTACAAAGCACGGTACTGTGGTATTGGGGGGCCGGCACTTCAGCGGTTAAGGGAATTTCTAAGCTTCAGAAATAAGTGAGTAGTTGTGGATGGAAAAGATCACACATTGCACCTATCCAATCAGAAGTATAACAGGCAAATGTATTTGGAGCATTTGCGTTCCTACTGATTATTAACGACCTGTCGGAATACACTCAGTCATAAACAGTTCGGTTTTTTGCCGATGTCTGCATGCTTTACAGAAGTATCTAAACTGTTGCATACTCAAAACTACTCTAAGAAGACATGAGAAACTTGCTCAGATAAAAAAATCTGACTGGCAAATGCCAACTTCCACGCGTGACCAACAAGCGAATCCATGTCACACATAAACATACATGGGTATGAATTAAGATTGGTCGGTAAAACCATAATTTGGAAAACACAGTGATTATTGAATCGAGGCCTTTATCTAAAGAAACCTGTACCACTTTCCACAACAATGCTGTACACAAAGCTAGTAAGGCCATTCATTGACTATGCTATGCCATGCTTAGTTTGGGACCCATTTACCAACTTAAACATGCAGAAATTAGAAAGGTGAAAAGATGATCAGCCCGGTTTGTAATGAACAACTACCAACAGACCAGAGGTGTAACAACTATTGAGGCAACCACAAGCCGAGAGGAGGAGGACACAATGTAAACGGCGATATGGCCGCAAAGTAATAAGCT